TCTCTTCCAATTCTTTGATTCTATGATTCTATAACATAACATAATATAATATATTGTATATACATATAATATTGATAATATTATAATGTAATACAATATGCTACTACTACTAATAAAATTATATTATATATTCTATATTAAACGTAACATTACTAATAATATTACAGTATAATGTTATATTACAATGTAGCATATAATATTAATATTGTGCTATGATAATAATAATATATTGTATTTACTTTTTACTTGTAAGCTTCTCTGGGTCCCTTTCGGGGTGAGAAGGGCGGCATGTAAATGTCGTAAATAAATAAATAAATAAATAAATCCTTATGTTGGCTGAACTGCTGACCTGAGGACCTGAAGGTCGGCAGTTCAAGTCTGCAAGACGGAGTGAGCTCCTGTCTGTCAGCCCCAATTTCCTGAACATGAGGAAGAACTTCCTGACTGTGAGAGCCGTTCAGCAGTGGAACTCTCTGCCCTAGAGGGTGGTGGAGGCTCCTTCTTTGGAAGCTTTTAAACAGAGGCTGGATGACCACCTGTCAGGGGTGCTTTGAATGCAATACTCCTGCTTCTTGGCAGAATGGGGTTGGACTGGATGGCCCATGAGGTCTCTTCCAACTCTTTGATTCTATGATTCAAACTCTTACGAAAAGAGGGGAGGGATGGGGCCTGTCTTATTTCCCTTGGAAGGGCGTTCCAGAGGTAGGGGGCCACCACCAAGAAGGCACACTCTCTCGTCCCCACCAACCATGTTTGTGACATAGGTTAGGGCCCCATGTCTCCCTTTTTCTAAGTCCCCAAATTTTGGCTTCAATCTCTCCATCATCTCTCAGAACTGTCTGTCCTGAATGTTTCATATCTGAATAAACAGAGGATGCAAGACCCGGAGTCGGAAAGAGTCTGCTGCTTGATGCCAAAACAAAACATAAAAACATGTTTTTATTTCAAAATATACCCATAATCAAAAATCAAACAGAATTTATAAAATGGAAGAAAGAATTATTGAAATTTGTGTGGAATGGGAAAAGACCGAGAATTAAATATTTGAATTTAATAGATAAAAAAACGCGAGGGGGACTGGGATTCCCAGATCTGAAAATATATCATGAGGCTAGTGCCCTTTTGTGGATAAGAGACTGGATGACATTAGAAAATGGAAAAGGCTTGAACTT